TTCAAAAAATCGTAACTTCCTTCCAACTCAACGAATCTCTTTGATATTATACTCATTTAGAAGAGAAAACTTTTCTCTTTACAGCTGTCCCTTTGCCATGAATTGGCATGAGAAAGTTCGAAAGTTAAAAGCAATTGAAGAAAAGTACTCAAGTTTGACATTTTTCAAGCAGGGTCTCGAAAAATTCTGGAAATATTTTTGTATGATAGAGAAAATTATGCTTTTTACAATAGTGCCTTTCTCATGAGTTAAAACGAAAAAGATCGAGAGTTAGAAGCAAATAAAGGAAATTACTTCAGTATTGCAGTTCTTGAGCATGCTCAAAAAAGCCTAAAAACATCACAGGAAGGGCGGAAAAGTCATAAACGTGGGTTTTGTAACCTTCTCTTTCTAGCTGAGCGAGTTTCGAGCTGATCGAGAGCGATTTTGATTTTCGTAATTTTTTCGGATTTTCGGGTGTGCGTTTTTCACGAAAAACAAAATTGCTCGCGATTAGCACGAAACTCACTCAGCTAGAAAGAGAAGGTTACAGAACCCATGTTTATGACTTTTCCGCCCTTTCTGTGATGTTTTTAGGCTTTTTTTAGCATGCTCAAAAATTGCAAAACTGAAGTAATTTCCTTTATTTGCTTCTAACTCTCGATCTTTTTCGTTTTAATTCATGTAAAAGGCACTATTGTGAAGAGCATAATTTTCTCTATCATACAAAAATACTTCCAGAATTTTTCGAGACCCTGCTTGAAAAATGCCAACCCTGAGTACTTTCCTTCAATTGCTTTTAACTTTCGATCTTTCTCATGCCAATTCATGGCAAAAGAACTGCTGTAAAGAGAAAGGTTTTCTCTTCTAAACGAGTATAAGATCAAAGAGATTCATTGAGTTGGAAGGAAGTTACGATTTTTTGAAAAACTGGCGAACGAACTTTTGCACCCACCTAATATATACAGGGTGTCCCAAAATAATGTGCACACTGTTTGATTTTGAATAACTCTCTTACTATGAAGTCTTTCGAGAAGCGGTAAAAACCATTTTGTAGAGATGGCTTCAACTTAGATTTGCAGTATAGAGCGAATCACCGACCGCTCTTCATTACTGTAGGATTACGGTAGAAACTTGAGAGAGGGTTTTGGGCCATGAAAGGCCATATTTTGCCTCAGAAAGGAATCGGAACAGCCTGAAAACCTTTACGCTAGGCCAATTAGAGTTGCTGATTCTAACAGTAAGATTCCCAACTTATTTTGATGCTTCACTGGAGAGTTATGCAAGATAAGCCGTAGCGGCCGTTTTCTCAATGTTCCTAAAAAGTGCGGTTACACCGTTTAGAAAGCTTCGCAATCTTGAGCATAGTTGAGTATTGAAGTCAGCGTCCCTAAAAGCCCTATTACACAAGTTTTCACATCTTTTGAAAAATTTTGAAACGGCAGCTTTTTCCACAGTGACACCATGTGTTCCAAGTTTCTACCGTAATCCTACAGTAATGAAGGGCGGTCGGTGATTCACCCTATACTGCAAATCTAAGTTGAAGCCAGCTCTACAAAATGGCGCTTACCGCTTCTCGAAAGACCTCATAATAAGAGAGTTATTCAAAATCAAACAGTGTGCACATTATTTTGGGGACACCCTGTATATATATATATATTAGGTTGTCCCGAAAGTTTTGTCGGTTTATTCAAACCACTATAAAACCAGGCACAGTAAAGATATGAATGAGTTTTAAAGTGCATTCGATGCAGCTTTTCCTACTCTTTTTATAGTTACATTTTCGAACCGTATTCCTGTATGCTTTTTTTGATAATTGCCAAAATTCTTCACCCGCCATTTTTATCTGCTTAAAGTTAGGCTATTTTTCAAAAATTTCGTTCCAAAGTTTCGGAGAGGGTTGAGTATGGATCAAATAGAGCAATTCCAGGACTTTACGGAGCTATTTTTTGATTCTCCTAATCTGCTGTGCTTAGCTCAAAAAAATTATTTCTTCGGAGGCCTTGATTTCCAGCAAAGTCATGAAAAACGCAACTGCAGCAAAAGCAAAAAATCTTTTGAAGTTTCTGCGAATTCAAACTTGATTGTTATTAAACACTATTTATGCAACATAACCAAGTTTGAATTGCTTCAAAAATCAGCTTTTTGAAATTTTCGGTACTTTTACATGGTAAATTTATTTAAAAAGCCGCGGTTTTTACTGAATAAATAATCATAACGGGCTTAATAAACGAGGCCCACGTAATCTAAAATAAGTGCAATGTAGCCAAAGGTTTGCTCTACATAACGGTCACCAGCGCTCCTTGAAAATATCAGTATAAAAATTTTCAAAATTCAGGAAAGATTTGGCGCTATGCTGAGGTGCTCAAAAAGCCACTGCGATAACATCACAAAGACGGGGTAGATCAGAAAACAAATATAGCTGTAAGAAAGAGGATAAAAATCTGAATAGAATGGTACCTAGGTCGTCCATGGAATGGCTTTCTGTGAGTTTGGGTGAGCGATGAAAACAACCGATAAAACTTTCGGGACAACCTGATATATATATATATATACATATATATATATATATATATATATATATATATATATATTAGGTTGTCCCAAAAGTTCTTGCGCCGGATTTTCAAAAAATCATAACTTCCCTGCCACTCAATGGATTTTCTCGAATTCAATCTCATTTGAAAGAGGAAACCTTTCTCTTTACAGCAGTACCTTTGCCATGAATTGGTATTAGAAAGTTCCAGAGCTAGAGGCAATTGAACGAAATCAGTCAAGATTGGCATTTTTCAAGCTGGATCACGAAAAATTCTGGATGTATTTCTGTTTGATAGAGAAAATTCTGCACATTACAGTAATACCTTTTTCATGAATTAAAACTGAGTAGACCGAGAGTTAGAAGCAAATAAAGAGAATTTCTTTATTTTTGCAATTTTTGAGCATGCTCAGAAAAGCTTGAAAACGTCACAGAAAAAGCGAAAAAGTCATAAACATGGGTTTTGCGATTTTCCCTTTTTAGCTGAGTGAGTTTCGAGCTGATCGAGAGCAATTTTGATTTTCGTGAAAAACGCAGACCCGAAAATCCGAAAAAATCACGAAAATCAAAATTGCTCCCGATTGGCAGGATTTTTGCTCAGCTAGAAAGGGAAGATCGCAAAACCCATGCTTATGACTTCTTCGCTTTTTCTGTGACGTTTTCAAGCTTTTTTGAGCATGCTCAAAAATTGCAAAAATGAAGAAATTCTCTTTATTTGCTTCTAACTCTCGATCTACTCGGTTTTAATTCATGAAAAAGGTAACACTGTAATGTGCAGAATTTTTTCTATCAAATAAAAATGCTTCCAGAATTTTTCGTAATCCAGCTTGAAAAATGCCAATCTTGACTGATTTCGTTCAATTGCCTCTAACTCTGGAACTTTCTAATACCAATTCATGGCAAAGAGACTGCTGTACAGAGAAAGGTTCCCTCTTTTAAATGAAGTTGAATTCAAGAAAATCCATTGAGTAGTACTCTGCGTTGATACCACTGCTT